GAGCAGCTCTGCCCCAGCTGTGTGGGGACACACGTGTGCTCCCATGAGCTCCAGGGGCTGGTGTGACAAGCTCACCTTCGCTGTTGGCGTACTTGAGCCGCTCCTGCATGGGGCCGTTGCCCGCCCTGCGCGGGGCGCGGAGCCGGGACGCGGAGGACCTTCCGTAATCCACGCTGGAGGAGGGAGACTGGCAGCGGGGGGAGCTCAGTGGGGACGGGGAGTATCTGTGGGCGCTGCGGAAGGACAGGGAACAGTCGTAGTCGTCCTCGTCCTCCAGGCTGTAGGTGTCGAACTCCTGGTCGCTGTAGGTGCCGCGGCGCAGGGAGTGCAGGGAGGCGCTGGAGCTGCGCCGGGACACGGAGGCGGAGCTGGAGGCACAGTCCTGCCGGAGGCCTGGGGACACAGGGACACACGGACACGGTCAGCACACGTTCAAGGAGACGTTCCTTACCCAGCTGCAACGCAAGGATACGAAGCTCTTATGGAGCGCCCCGAAGGTCAAGGTGAGGTTGGGTCAAAGGTTGGACTTGACGATCTCAGAGGTTGATTCTGTGAAGGTGGGGAAGGGCCTTGAGGGGAAGCCACATGAGGAGCCTGAGGGCACTTGGTCTGTCAGGAAAAGCCTCATTCCTGGCACAAAACTCACTCCAAGTCAGGCTGGCTGTTGGAATAAAGCAGACCTTGTTCAGCACCATAACATTTTATTAAACTACACTATTTCAAGGTCACATTGATGGCAGGGAGAACGTTGCTATCAGTGCATATTTCCTGGACTAAGACTGTGTTTGGAGCATCCAGCACTTGCTGAGGGAAAGGACACTGGAAGCCTGGGAAAGTGGAGACTGAGGGGAGACCTTCACTGCAGTTACAACCTCCTGGGCAGGGGCAGAGGAGGGGCAGGGACTGAGCTCTGCTCTGGGGGGACCAGGGACAGCACCCAGGGATGGCGGGAGCTGTGCCAGGGCAGGGTCAGGTTGGATCTCAGGCAAAGGTTCTTCCCCCAGAGGGTGGTTGGGCACTGCCCAGGCTCCCCAGGGCAGTGGGCACAGCCCCAAGGCTGCCAGAGCTCCAGGAGGGTTTGGATGATCCTCTGGGGCACAGGGGATGACTCTTGGGGATGGGGTGTGCAGGGCTGAGGGTTGGACTCCATGATCCTCGTGGGTCCCTTCCAACTTGGAATATTCCGTGCTAGTGATTCATTTCACCTTGGAAGGAGGGTCAAGTTAACAACTGTCCTTAAGGAGACACTCAGGGCTCACGGAATCCTTAACCTGGATCAGTGTCACCCACATCAGTCCTGTTTAATTCCAGCCAAGAGTTAACATCCAATGGACCTCAACTACTCCTTATTCCCACACACAAATAACTGAGATTGTGGACCATATATTGCCACCAAGCTCCACTAGCTTAACCAGGAATGGGGGTCTAATTCACAGAGTGAGTGTTTTAGTTCAATTAATTACACACCCACCAGCATTTCAACAGGTGGAAACAAAGATCTGAAGGTCTGCTCCAATGAAAACACCCCTGTTTTGCACTGACATATGGGTTATTTAGAATTTATGCCTTTTTTCAAGACAAAACACAAGCAACTTTAACAAAAAGCAGCTGTTCCCCACTCTTCTCCCTTCACAATGAAAATACTAAAAGCTCCCATCATTCTGAGGATGAAGATATTTTCTAATTCACGGGAAACTCTGGAATGTGACAGGATTTCCTTGGCGCTTTTTTTAAGTGATTGCAAAGCATAAAAGAATGGTCAAGTTTAGAAAGGGAAAGGCTGTTATTTGCTTTATTCACCTGAATACAACTTTTCTTCAGCTGCAAAAAAGTGATGACAAGATCTTCAGTCTTTTGTCCTTCTTGGTCTCATAACCCAATTCCTAGGTCACAGTAATTTTTTTTTAATTTATAAAGGCACAGTACTAAAAGTAAATGTTCTCCTAAAGAAAGACAGAGAACTTCATTCTCTATTTCCTGTAAACCAAATTAATGATTCACTTGCACAGAAACACAGCTCTAAGCCCTTTTTCCACCTTGCTCTTCAATTAGGACCTCAGCCAAATTCCAGAAGTCAACAGAAACTTCCCCAGGGATTTAATGATTTTGGGGCCTTGAAATCCCCCCACTCTGGGACACGAACAAATTCAATTTGCAGAGCTGCCTCTGAGTACTTTACCAGAGCAAAACTGCAATTGTAAATTCAGCTCTTTCAGTTTTAGCACCCCTGAACTCCTGGTTTAACTCATCACAGCAGTAAAAAACCACTTGTATTTTAAGTGAAATAAAGAGCTTGTAAAGCTCAGCCCTGCAGAGCTTCTGATTTCTGGCTGCTCAGGAACCCAAAACTTGACATGCAGAATGTTTTGCTGGGTTATTTTTTCACAGCTGGGTCATTTCACATCTGGGTCAGTGCCCCAGAGCAGTCACAGCACCTGTGTTTGCCCAAGGGAGGGGACAACTGCCACTGCCACCACACAGCCCCTCCTGGAACCTCAGCTGTACTTCAGAGCCAACCTGGGATGGAGCATTTGTAACATCAAAGGGCACCCACATATTAACAGAGAGGGGCTTTGGGTAATACTTTGGATAACCCTCGAGGAGGACGTTGTACAACTGCCACGTTGGCAGTTTGGGTGTGGAGATTTTTCCAGGAAGCCCCTGGGAAAAAATCACCAACGTTATTTTTTTGTTGGGGGGAAAGGGGAAGAGGAGAAGACTTGGAATCCATCTGGAGCTGCCCAGCTGTAACACAAAGGAGGTGGGTGCCACCTACTCTCTTCCTGAAGGCGTGCCATGACCTGGACATCCGTGAGGTCCTGCAGTTTGTAGCCCATGGAGATGGAGTCGTCCGAGGTGCTCAGCTCGCTGTCCACCGAGGACTGGGAGCTCAGCGCCGAGTGCATGCTCAGGTAACCTGGGGGGGACACAGAGAACACACAGGCAGTCAGACACCCCCCCAAACAGCACAGCATCCATCCCAGGAATCAACCAGTGCCCTCGGGAAGTTGGGGGCTGGCTGTGAGAAATAAGGCAGGAGTTGGGAATCGCCAGAGGACACAACCGTTATTAACCTGAGGTTTTCAGGAGCGTGGGGAAAAACTGTGGAATTCTGCCCAGAAGGTGGCAAAGGGATCCCCAGTGGGGATTCTGAGCTTAGAAATATATTTCAAATATCAGTAATACTGGTGCTTATCTTGAGAAAAGGGCAGCTGTTGATCTAGAAATTGAGCAGCAAAGTTACCCAAAGTGCTGACCGGGGTGTCGCTGAGCGGTCAGAGGAGCAAAACGATCCCAGGAATAAAAGGGTCAGAGGACAGAACCTCAATCATCAGCTCTGCCCTCTGCTTTTGCAAAGCAGAGCTTACCCTAAATCCCATTCTCCTATTTCCTGAGCTTTATTCATTTTTTTTTCCTCTCATCACAAACCAAAGTCTCTCTTACAGGGAAGGACACAGCTTGCTCGTAAAAACCAAAGTGGGAGGATCTTTCCACCAGGGAAGTTCTTCCTTTTGAAGGATGATGATAATAATAAAAATATCATCACAATCATCCCTTAAGTGCAAATTTTTACCTCTTGGTACTTTTAAGTCAAGCAAGTCAGTCTTTTCCTTGGCATAAGAGTTCTGCTATTTGCTGCTGAAATGAGGAGAGAACAAGCTCTGAGCTTTGGGGTACTGGTCCTTCAGCTGTGGGAGGGCTGTGAGTACAGACCATATAACTTACAGAGCTATTTTAGAAGAGAGGACATCATTAATTAACTTAATTAACTCCAAGACAAAGTTGCAATTAGTACTTTATAGGTTTAGACCCACAAGAAGCAAAGTTAAAACACAGTCTGCCCAAGATCAGCTAAAGCAAGAACCTAAGAGTTCTTTACACCTCTTTCAGCTTAAGAACTAAGTCCTGCTCAAGCAGGGACTGAAATAATCATTTAAATAAAATCAGCAGGTAGAGATAAACCAGGAATAAATCAGGCTCCCAGTGTATGGTGTTATTTACCACTGGCTTTTCCTTTAGTTCCCAGTTTTCCTGCCCCGTGCTCAGACTGGCAGGCAGAGCCCCTCCTCACTAATGCTCAACAACGATGGTAAAATAAACCATTTCTCAGCAAAACATCTGAACCCCATCCCTGAGCAGCCCTTTCCAACTGGGGGCAATTCCAGGACAAAGCAGCAGGTTCCCAATATTACTCCTTCAGCCAGTTTGCATGAGCAGTAACTGCTGACAGGGAAAACACAGGTGTAAGTCCAGGTGTAAAATAAATCTCTTCCACAGGTATGGAATAATTAGCTCAATTAACCTCAAATTCCTTGTTTGAAAGGCATCAAGTTTGTCCAGCTTTTCCATTTTTCAAGTTTTTTCATTTTTAGAGGGTTAAGAATAGTTTGGGGTTAGGGTTTTTCAAGCTTCCCAGCTTTTCAGTGACACTTTTTCCAGCTGTAAAACCATGACTTTGGGAATTCCAGGGTCCATCTGGGAGCGTGTGTTGCACAAACACACACTCAGAATCCAGACACTCCACCACATAATCCCATTTCTGTCTTCCTGGGGTCAGGAAAAGACAGCAGAAGTAGGTGAAATCAAGCCATCCCTTAGGATGTGGCCCAAGGAACCAGCACAGGTTTCCTGCTGGAATTACCACCAAGAGCCAGATTTTTAATATCAGCTTTATAAAAGGCAAAGTTCCCAATTCAACTCCACGTGTTTAGTTCTGTTGTTGCATTTCAAACCACAGGTCTGGCTAAAAACAGCCAAGGAGGGGCTAAAACCTCACTTTCTTCCACCAGTAAAGCTGAACTGATGATGGTTTTCAGCAGAGGGACCACATCTGGATTTTGTCAAAGGGTTTTGTTCAGTTTTTAAGGGAAATTACTGTTAAACATTTCCCATTTGAATGTTTTTCTTAGCAATAAAATCAGATTCGAGTCCGTGGGGTGGAGGGTGAACTTGAAACTCATTTCACACCTGCCCAGGTCACCTGAGAGATGAACTCTCATTATCTCCTGGCCTGTCCCTGCTTTTCCACCAGCACATTTTCAGGATGAACAGCCCAGAAGCTGCACAGACACTTTTGTGGGGGTTTTTTTTACACACCAATAACCATTTCTGTGTGAAAAGGTTGCTCAGGTTGCCCACCAACCTCATCTTCAACCCAAGAAATCGGCTCAGAGGTGTTTCCCTGCAGAGTTCAGCCTGCAAAAACCAGCCCTCCCCGAGTCCTTTTGTTTGGAAAACACGGATAAGTGTTCGTTTCTGTCCACAGCACATCCCCAAAGCAAATCTGCACCTGTGAAAACATCCTCAGGCAACCCTTTCTGCTTTTAAAGAAGGTAAAAAAAAAGTTAATTTCACATCAAGTTCCAAGGCAGAGACTGCTAAATGTGCTTTCTTGTTTTCAAACGTGCAGAGCAGGATTTAGCAATTTCCACACCAAAACAAACAAACAGGGAAGGCTCCTTTGATAACAAAGCCAAGAGGCAAAGCAGCTGTGCCAGGAAACAGCAGAAACTGCACCAAGGATAATAAATGAAGCTCCTGGAAGAGGGTCTGTGGCCTCCAGTTTGGAGGAGCTTCATTCTCACACCTCCAAACCCACCTGTCAAGAGGAGCT